ATCTGGATGTCTTACTGTCTAAATTGTGACACTCGATGAATATAGATTCCGCATTTATATTATTTTTTACATATTAGTTGGTTAATATTATTTTGTCGTCATTATATAATTTTACTTTTATTAATTGATATATTAAATTTCTATTTATTATAATATTTAATATATTTATAATTTGATATAAAATTATAAATAACAATATTATAAATTTTATATAAGTTATATAATTTAATATTAAATTTTTTTCGGTACGCATACTTACTTTTTTAATGTAATTTTTTGCGAAGATTGTGTAGAAAGAAATTTTTTGCTAAATTTATTTTGTAACAAGGTTGTGAAAAGGACTCATGAAATAGGCCTACTTGAAAGACCCCTAAGCAGAACATTGTTTGACTTCTCGTGCGTTCGCCTTTCCTTCTTTTGTTACGAAGCACCTCCCGCTGCTTTTCAGAGAACGATGTCAATGAGTCTAGACGAGGGAAATAGTTCGTGTCCGCAATTGCGCGTAGCCGAATGGCTGCGAAGGTTAATAGGTTGATCACTGGTCACTGTGGTCATTGTGATTCACATAGTTAGTTGGAAACCTACATTTAACAATCTCTCCAGCAGTTGTCTCCGTTCGCTGGCAATCTTCCTTGAAACGTGCAGAAATTATTTTTCAGGTGTCAGTCTTACTATGTCAAAGTAGTTAATAGAATTAGCGTTTACTGCAGCTTATTAGAACGCACGGGGGGCTATAGGCAGAATAATTTAACATAAATTACAAGCGAGATAACGGTCGCGACAGCGATTAATTGCGGATTAGCCTGACAGACGGATAAGCTATAAATAAAACGAATTTGATAGTCGCATTTCAAATTCAGAACGGCAAATAATACAAGTTTACGGATGTAATCCTAATCGACCGCACGAGTGCGTTACATAAAGTATCGGAGGAGGGTCTCGGGAGCAAGGTTTCATGATTATGGTCGCCGTCGATGCCACATGCACAGAACACGCATTGACGCATTCTGCACGAGTATCGAGCACTGCATGGCAGGCTGAATGACCGCAATTAACCTTACGTAACTCGGCCTTCCTTGGTGGTCCTCCAACTATCCGCGGCCTCATAAATTGTACATATACAATGCGTCTATACATAGGAGTAACTATGTTTATTGCTTAACATTTTGCATTTTTTTGTGTTCTATTTTGTGTTCTATTGTGTTAAACTAGAAGCTAAATGGTTTTAAGACAATAAATTTTACTTCTATTTTTCATTAGTATCGATATATTTGGCAGATTAAAAATTACATAAAACTATTTTCATTGCTATTCTCGTTATTGCACATTATGTGAAATCATCGGCTATCATTTTCGCCTACGTGAACGAGATCACACCTCGTTGTAACGTGACGGAAACAAAGATCGTGCGGAATGTAACAGCGTTCGAGAGTGCGATAATAATGTGTCGTAAAAAGAAGCGAAAACAGCTTTAAAGCTCCGTTCCGCGTAACAAATATGTCGTACGTGGAACACTCCGCGCTCTTATCAGTCGGATTTACGATTTCGATTAGCACGAAGCCGTTGTGTCTGCCTTCCTGGTGGTGAGAAGACACTAAAAACAATTATCGTCGACGTGTCGTACCTTGGAAAGAGCAAGGCTTCGGAAGGGTAAAAAATCTCGCGAATTGAATTACAGCCGCCCACACGTGCGGAAATATTTGAATATATTGATAGTATCTAAGTGACAAGTCAATATCGACGCGCAAGTTTATACAAATCCTTATTTTTCCCTGAAAGAAAGCCTTTTGATTTTGAACATATAAGATTAATACTAATGAGGAGTAATAGTATCACTTTTATGCATTTATATGCGTATAACAAACTAATATTATACTTCATATCTTAATATATTTTAATATATCTAATATTCTATTTAATTTAATATTCATCATTTTTATTCAGAGAAATGGATCAAATTTTTAGAAAGATATGCTCTTGCTATACATGTAGCTATTTTTTAAAGGCTATGAGATTCAACAAATATGATTTTGCAAATAAAAACCATCAAATTATCAAATTCATATCGCGCAGATAAAATCTCGACGTATCGATATTTACGCAGTAAGGCGTTGGTAGTTAATACATGCCGCGAAGTCGATCTCCGATCTGTTCCGTCTGTATTCCTGCGAGCCACCCAGGTGTGAACGCGCCCAGGAGCAAAAGGATTGCGGGGTAAATTACCGGCAATAATTTCCAACTGATAAGAACGGCGCGCGTCACTCTTTCTCTCTCTTTCTCTTTCGCGGCTAGCGGGCCGTTTAATTCAGTTTAACCAACGGCTTGTGTCCACCTCTCGCAAATATGGTATTCGATTAGGGTGAGCTATTGGTACCGGGAGGCATCGGTATCGTAGTTATTTACGAGGCGTTCTGACAGCCCTCACCCACCTATCGCGAGCCACAAATTTCTACGTCCTACACGGGGTTTGAGACAGATTAATCGAAATTTCGACTGCAATTTCCGAATAATAAACGCAATAATCGCGGATCGAAAAAATAAATCTTTGTTTTATCAATCGAAACATAAGAAAAATGTTTAATTTGCTCAGCAAAAATTCGATCACTTATTCTGCTATATTCACGTTTTAGTAAAATTTAATTTTATTCAAACATTTGAGAGATTTGGACTGCATGTAACTCTGATTTTTTAAACTGCAAAGTAAAAACAGATTAGTAAAAAAATTAAACAAAAAAATATTTACAAAGCAATTTTTTAAATCCGATTTCTTCAAAATATATTTTTATCATTGAGGCAAATACTACTCAGAATGATCCATTAACGTTTTGGTTTTCTTGACAGCTCGGGAAAGGATTTCGGTCTTAAAGAGTTATATTTTTAAGTGTAAGTTAAACGTGGCTGTTATTCGGCGTGAGTTGTACCTATCTTATATAAGGTGCGACGAGCACTGTCGTTCACCTGTGAAATCACCTGACGTATTGACTGCCAGCAGCCGACCACGATTAGACATCCGGTCATTTTCTAACATTACGTGTGCGCGCAGGCGATTCATGTTCTCATGCATGACTTCATTGTTGGCGAGTTCAATGATTGTAACGGCGATCGTATTGTATTCTTCAAGCAGGTAACGCGATGTAATCGGTTCGTAATCTCGCGATCGCGTGTACGTAGATCTATCGAGATAGACTGGTTATACAAACGTATCAAGTAAAGTACAATCGATCGATTTAATTATGCCGATATATGATTCATTTGATACATTACATAACTTCTGTTGGAGCGCTTAGTTCCTGCCTTTTTTTTACTTACTTTTTAGTTATTTACTTACTTTTTACTTACCTTTTAGTATTTCACTGCGCATGGAAGGAACAGGACTCTGAATAATATTTTAATCACAATGGATATTCTATCTAAAGACATGTACAATTGATAGATTTGAAATTTTTGAAAGTTTTACAAGGTATAATTATATATTGTACTATATGGTCTATCAGTACGGTTTTCCTGAGATTTAATAAATCGCAGAGCCTATAGTTATGATATAATGGATTAGCGGAATCTTTCTAATAATGACAAAAACTCACTGTAACAGATTACGAGAGTCATTTTGCAACAATTATAAAACTCGATAGAGCTGTATTAAGATAAGATCGCGCTATATACCTATGTGTCCATATTTTTTCGCAGGTGGGCTAGATACTCACTACGATAAAGTTGTATACGGTAGTCGAAAGCGAGTACAAAATGTAATATTAATTATTATTAGTCAGAGCTCGCCGGAGCGTAAAGCCATGCTCATATTTGAGTTTCACTATCGTACTTGTCTCGGTGCCATTAACGCGCGTAACTCCATGTGCAGAAATATGTCGCCGCCATGTCTCTGTCACAGTTAAACGAGATGAAAGAAATTATTCCATCAGATTGCATTTTATAGTAGTTCTTCACACGCCCCTTATGTCGCATCGACAGCACTGACTCGTTTACTTCGTAATTTAGAATTTTTTCAGTGCTAGTTACTAATATGTGAATTTATAGAAAGTTAACAAAACGTGCAAAATAATTTGCTAGTTTTGCACATGTCATATAATTTTTATCATTGTATGAATTATAGTCTATAAAATAAACGTTTATGGTTACGCAGATTGCTTTTATCGCGACTTATCAAAAACTTTTTCACTTATTAACGACCGATACTAAAAATTGTAATACGCGTACAAAAGAAAAAACATACGAGGCATAAAAATCACTAGAATAAAATCAGCCATTAAACTTTTCAATATCTTCCATCTGGAAGAAAATGTTTCTCGTCTGTGTAGAGAGAACGACCGCGTGCAGAGACTGTTGCGAACGATGGCAACACGACACAATTTCGAGTAGTAGGGAATTGGATACAAAGTGATTTCAGATTAGCCACACGTGCGGACGGTACGGCTAATCTGCGCGGAATATAATTAGCTCCAGTGACTAACCGCTAGCGCGGCCGTTAAATTTAGCCAAATGCAATCATAACAGCGCAGGTGGTCATTTTACCCTTTTCAAGTATTTGACAAGTCCAGATTATATAGACCGCGCGTCGCAGCGGCCACAGTGAGTCATGGCGAGGCTAATTATATATATGTATATGTATAATGCCTTTGCCAGAATACAGACCTAGGTCCTTTTCGGCCTTTCTTCCTTTTTTCTCGTACTCATTTGAGCACTATAAGCGTTATAATTCCTCTATCGATTTATTTGTTTGTTATTAAAGCGTAATTAACGTTTTTACAGCAGATAATATGTTTATTTATTTTATTTATTTTGTCAAGTGAAATCTGAAGTCTTTTGAATCAACCGATCTCTGATAAATTGTCTAAATTGTTCGTTAGTTTTGTATAGTCGAATCTTTAGGTTTATATTTGCATTTTTATTGCAATTTTTATATGTTATTCATGCGACGAATAGATTTGTCTATATTCTACTTTTTATTGTTATTAATTTATATTGTTTGTGGGATGTTGCAGATGCACGAGAAAATGCGTGTAAGATCGTCGAGGTGACTGTGAGAGCATGGAGACTATGCAGGAAGGTGGTGGTCGTCTGCAAAATGATTCGACCGTCGCGAAGATGCCGAATCGGTTGAAGCTCGTGCAAAGTGACGAAAATGACAAGGTGACGAGTGAAAAGACAGCGGAGATGGACCCGTACAGGGAATTGGAGCTCTATCTCGCCAAGGTTAACGTAAGTCAATTTTGAATTCGTATTTTTGCATTTCTATAGCATTTAGTTGCGAGAAATTATAAGACCATCCTAAGAAATCGAATAATTTTATTTTACAATTATTGAGCTATTATAAAAGAATCTACATATAAAAGGAAATATAAAGTCTGATATTTTTATAATATATTAGATTCTTTAATTAGTAAATTAAATTGATGTTAAAATATGATTATGTTGAATTATCTATGGCATTAATAGAGATATTAGTCGGAAATTCTATTAGAGTGAATATCTACATTTTACTTCAATAGATAATTATAATAGATATAGTATCAGGATATTTTCCAGTATTTTTTCGGCGTTCCGTTATGAGATCTTTTACTTCGATACCTTTGTTCTGTAATTAAATCTTCTGATATATCACATCGTATAAAATGTGATGTAAACGTTAAGAAGATAATCGTATTTGAAATCTCGCGTTGCCTGCGGGTGTGATTAATCATCGCATATACATATCACCCGCATTCAAAAGTTCCACTCGTTCTATCTTTGTCCCTATACGGGATTAGACGTGCTGTTTTGCAATTTCGTTATTAAAAGCATGTTTATACGAATCGTGAAAGGTTCCAACGTTTCACGTAATCGCGTTTATACGACCGGATCTTTGAATGAAGAAGACGAAGATCGGTGATAATTTAAAAAGGTCGAGCGAATCGACGCCCACTTTCTCTTTACGATAATCGATTCTGATTCCCTGGAAGTGACTCGATTCCCCGACTTCTTAGGCCTGAAACGGAAGATTCGAGCGGTGAAAGGAATCGTGCCGTGAGGGCTTCGCCCATATTTTTCATTATCGAACAGATCACCGCAAGAGCAAATGATTTCTCTCGCACGATGGGCCGAGCGCGACGAGCGGATGATTCCGTCCGGATAAATATCTCGTCTTTCTTAATTAAAGTTGTTTGATGCGATCTAAATCACGCGTGCCTTGTTTAATGTACACACAACGCGGAAAGTCGTCTTGCAGTCTCGCAACTCGGTACATCCTTCTCGATGTATCATTTAGCATGCCATAACACTGCTCATTTAGCTGCACAATAAAATTGATCATCGGCTTTATCGATCGTTTCGTTAATCGCCAACGGCGAGGCATCAGGCATGTCGCGACAAATTAGTCACCATGTCGACGATCGCGAAATCCCGAAACAAGTCCCGGAGTCGTTTGCTCTCCGTTGCTTGTTTTTCCGTATTCCCTTCCTGGTCCGATGTTTATACATCTGTTTTAGAGACTTTACCTAACTAAACGACTCCAATGGCACCCGAGAGTACGAACCGGTTCTTGTTTGCGAATTCGCGTAAGGCACGTTTGGTTACAGGTGTCACCATTACATTCCTATGTGACTTGCTTGAATATTCATTAGCTGTAGTGGATACACTTGGAAAATCTACTTAGAACTTAGAATGGAATTCATGTCGTCAGTATTTTAATGATATATTAACTCTACATAATACACATAATAACATTTTTATTATATGACAACACACATATTAGGCATTAAATATGTAAATAATATTAATCATAAAATCATTGACCATTAGTGGGTTTTCTCTGTCAGCATAATTTTCTCAATGTGTTGCCGGTCTAAAAATAATTCTGATCATTTATAGATTAAATTGATGCATGATTAACTTAATAGGTCGAGTAAATCTTACCGATCTAGTCTTGATGTCATGATCTGAAAAATTCAATCTGAAATGCGTTAGACATTTCGCGCGTTTTGTATTTCCGTTTGTATTCGATTATCAGCTGCTACCACAGATTATGTTTTCGTCATTCGCTTGGGACGCGTTCGCTGATTTTGATCGGGCGATCGAGCATGCGAGCACCGTGCGTGCGTGCGTGCGTCGGTTCCGCGTCGTCCTTTGGCGCGTACCGGTGCATCGCGAGTGCATCGGTGCATGTCGATGCAGCGCAAACAAACAAGAAGAGTTCCGTCGTACCACAAGAGGGGTAAGGAAGGTGGCGGCCGATGGCTCATCGTTAAAACTAGTTGGTGCGGAAGTCGCTTCTTAGTCTCCTACTATTTCTCAGATAGTGCCTTCGAGTGCTGCTACTGGTCGGCACGGTATACCTTAACGTGGTCTTTACGAGAAACTTATAGCCGCGATGTAATCGGGACTCAATATCGTTTCCAGATGAATGATTGACCACTTATCGGCTAACGAGTGATCTGAGCTTCAAAGATCCCATAGATCCATTTGCGTATCGTTCCCCATGACTGATAGTAGCGACGTTTAAAATGTGTCACTGATAAATTCATACTCGTTGATAATAAATGATAATAAATTATATGTATTGCAATGTAGTTTCTTCTAATTTTGATTAATTTCTATTGTGTTACTTTTACCAAGTCGCGCGCAAACGTATACTATACCATACTATTGATTATGTACATTTGTCTAAATATTTCTCATATCTCGCATAACTAACCGTTCTGCAGACGTAGTATAGTTACACATTTTTTAATGACGCAATTAATATTCATATTTTATAATGCACGTTGGGTGTACCGTTTCGCGTTTTTTTCGCAGCGTCGAGCGAGGGAGCACGATGCTCGATATTCTCCCAAGCCGAAAAGCAGATGACACAAACGGATTCTTCTCCACCCATCAGTTTTTTGCACTCTCTTTCCGTGCGCATACTTTTTTGCTGTTTTCTCCGACCGTGTGAACTGGCGGGCGTTTATTAACTAGACGGATAGAGAAGAAGCCGCCGCGCGTCACACTCATACGATTGCGTCTGCGATCCTTGACCTCCGCGATGGATGCGTGTCTGCTTTTTGGAGTAGCCTGAATCGTCTTAATGCGCTCGGACATTAACGAAAGAATGTAGACCGTGATCCTATTGAAAGTTAAATTCAGAAGAAACTCTTGAGTAATAATAACTGGGTCGCGCGTGATCATATAGCAACTATTTCGAACGGTCGAATTGATATTAACAAATATTGTTGTAACAAATAACAAATTCTTTGCAACTAATAGTTACAATCATCGATATAATGTAATATAGTAATAAATAATAGACAATAGACAGTTTTATATGCAATACAGTAATAAACAGTATTTGTTATTCAGCTGTAGATAATATTTTTGACTTTGGATTATCGGTTTTTTAGGATTATCAATTATACATTAGTAGTTGGCATAAAAATTTACCGTAAAATCATTAAATTTACCTAATTACTTTATTTATATTGTGATTTAGGTTGAAGATAAAAGTATAAAAAACAAAAGAGTTAGGTGAATTGAACGGGTGCAAAGTATCCTTAGCTATTGTTAGTTTATTACTTATACAATTAGTGGGTCAAGCTTGAAACTTTTCAAGATTTAGGTTAAACAGGACCTAACTTCCTCTTCCTTGCTCTTTCGCATGTTTATGAAAGAAACGATTGATTCAATCGGAGTATACCGGCGGCGACGAAACCGATCGAGGAAACTTGTTTTACGTCTCAAGTCCGTAAGTGTGCGCCAAATTTAGCGGCGGTTCGGCCGAACCGTCACCGTGATTATAGCAATACGAGCGCGAATTCTTGAATGAGCGTGATCTTTCGTACATCCGGTTTCTCTGCACGCAAGGTGAAATCTCCAGAATCGTGAAACACGTGTTTATTAGTAATTACTGGAACAACAGTGTAGGTATTACAAAATATCATGCACTCCAATACAAATAATCGTTTGGCCATCGTTTCGTTATATCAATAATAAAACAGATGTTTTTTTTTATGCTGTTGCTATCAAGTTACAAATTAAAATTATTTTTTATCTACACAAAAAATTATATAAGGTCGAAGTTGAATATTTTAAGTTTTATATTTATTGCAGTCATTTTTATTCATACCCTATTAACTTCTTGGGCCTTGATTGCATATACATATTTCTGTTAGCCCGTAGATCTTCATTTTTACCATTGTGACGTGAGATATGAGTGTCATAAAATCACGCAGGATCTGAGGTCTAACAAAGCGAGCAAGATATGAACTTATTTTTTCCCTGTCCTCGGTCATTTATCTAGATCACCGAAGTGAACAGACGCATTCTTTCGATGATATCATTGCGATGACGCCTGAAATAGACACTAGTCATACTTGGTATTTGAGTTGATCGGTATAGAAATCAAATGTAGATTTCGTGTATCGACGCCCACACGTATATTTCCAGAGTAAGAAATGGTATCTCGATCGAGAGGACCGGTAGATCGTGAGATCACTTTCTACAACCTACTGACAGCGGAGAATATTTGTAATGCGTCGTCTACAATAGCAGCAGGAGTATGCAGTAAGACGTAAGCAGTAAGCTACTAACCAACCACAGTCGATTATTCTTGAATTGTAAAAATCCCATTAGTCAATAACTTACTGCTTATGTCTTACTGTAGACTCCTGCTGCCATTGTAGACGACGCATAAGACCATCTTACCGCCGAGCGTCAACATTTCCTCACGTTCATGCAGTCATTAAATAATAACACGCACGAGTCTATAGACCTCGAGGTCTAAGTAATCATTGGCGCGGCAAATTTCCCATAGACATGATAAAAGCCACTGTTCTCGCGAACCGTGTCTTTAATGAGAATATCTTCTCACATCACGTTCAGTTTAGTTCACTGTTATATTATTAATTTGATTGAAACTATTTTAAAGAAGTCGTTAAAAACAAAGCAATTTTCTGAGCTGAAGCGACTTTCGTAAAACTTTATTTAGTTGTAATTTAGACACCTATTTCATCACAGAGAAAATACTCAACAGGTACAACAAAATCCACTCTGGAACTGTCGTCAAACATCGTTCGCGTCCGTGGCAACTCTAAGAAGTATCAATTCGCGGTCAGGTCCGGTGTACGTTCGCGGGGCGGCGATCATAACGCGTTTAAAACGGCAGTTTAATGCAAACACGTTTCGCACATGTGCGAGGGAGCGCGTTTGGTGCACCGATGCCACGGACTTGCCTGGAGGTTGCGGATAAT